CACACCTGTCAGCCATCCTAGCACTCGTGAGCGGGACACACCTGTCCTCCTAGCACTCGTGAGGGGGACACACCTGTCCTCCTAGCACTCGTGAGCGGGACACACCTGCCATCCTAGCACTCGTGAGGGGGACACACCTGCCATCCTAGCACTCGTGAGGGGGGACACACCTGTCCTCCTAGCACTTGTGAGGGGGACACACCTGTCAGTCATCCTAGCACTCGTGAGGGGGGCACACCCGTCCTCCTAGCACTCGTGAGGCTGAGGCCCCAGGCCGGGATGCCTGAGCTATGCTGGCTGGCTTCATCAGGGAGAGAGAAAACATGTGGAGAGAGGGAGAGGAAGCTTGCGGGTCAGTGAGATGGCTCCGCGCGTAAGGATGCTGGCTGCCAGACCTGACAATCTGAATTCCGTTCCCAAGAGGAGAGACTAGATGCCCAAAACTGTCCTCTGACTTCTGCGCTTGCGCTGTGGTTCACGCGCCCCACCCTATACATTACAAAAGAAAGAAGAATTTGTTTTGATGCACTAACTAATCCAGTAGCCAGGACAGAAGCACTACATAAAATGTGTATCCCTCCCACCCCGTGTATGTGTGTGTGTGTGTGTGTGTGTGTGTGTGTGTGTGTGTGTGTGACAGACACAGGCATATGCATGGGGTGCCCAGAGGAGCCAGAGGAGGACACTTGAGCTGCCTTTTGTGGATGCTGGGAACCAGACTCGTGACGTCCAGAAGATGGGCGAGCACTCTTACACACTGGGCTCTCTCTCTGGCCCCTGAGATGGGTGTTGCTATGGTCAATGCTGATCCTAAGCCCTAAGGTCGCCAGAACCTATGCTTATCTGCTCGGACACCTTGTTCTGGATGCTTCCTCCTCTTCCAGGTCCCTTCCCATCTCCACGTGGTCCTCTCTGTCCATCCCTCAGTCTCAGCAGACTGTGACCTCCAGTCTCCTCCTCTCCTCTGGCGTTCCATCTCCAGCTCTCCCCCCTTGAGCTCTGGCTCCTGTTTCTATGGTGTGGGTCGTCTCCCAGACCAGCTCTGGAGGTCTACAGGGAAAGGACAGGGGTTGGTTAAAAGATGGACCCCAAATCCAAGAGGGCTGGAAGATGAGACAACAGGTGGAGAGGAGGGCTCAGGGGAGGGAAGATGGGATGTGGGTGAGGAGGGAGGCGAGCCCGGCTGTGGAACGTGGCTTATTTGGTAGAGGGCTCGCCTCGCATGCACGAACCCCTCAGAACTACATAAAACCCGGCATGACTAATCATACCTAAGGTAAAGGTAGGAGGATTAGTATTTCAAGTTCATCTTGGCCTGCGTAGTGAGCTGGGGGCCAACCTGGTCTTCAAGAGACTCTGCATTTTATTTTGTTTGTTGAGACAGGGTCTCTCTGTGTAGCCTTGACTGTCCTAAAGCTAGCTCTGTAGCCCAGGCTGGCCTTGAACTCACAGAGATCCACCTGCCTCTGCCACCCAAGGGCTGGTGCGCCACCACTGCCCAGCGAGACCCTGTTTCTAAAAAGCAAGGGGCTGGAGAGTTGGCTCAGTAGGTACTTCACTCAGGTAGAAGGCTGGGAGCAGCTGGGTGTGCCTGTAACCCAGCAGTGGGGCAGAGGCGGGCGGCTCCTGAGGGTTTGCGGGTAACAAGCCAGTGCGGCTAAAACATGAGCGTCCAGTTCAGTGAGCGACCCCGCTCTGTAAGACAGTAAGGTAGGAGGCAGCAGAGGAAGACGCCCCGTGTCCTGCTCTGGTCTTTGCATGCACACACCTGCACACTCACATGCACACACAACATACACACACACCATATGCACATAACACACACAAATCACACATATATAACACACTCAAACTAAATACACATTACACACAAAAAACTCACATGACACACACAAATCATATACACATAATATACATACACAGACCACACACACACACAAATCATATACACATAATACATGTATAACACATACAAACTCTATATGCATAGCACACACACAACATGCAAATCACATACACATCACACACACAACACATACACACAAACTACACACACATAGCACATACAAACACCACATACCCATAACACACACATACACAAACCATATTACAAAACACAGTCATCAACCACATACACAGACCACACACATACAGACAGACTTCATACACACAACATCCTCCTCCACTAGAAAAAGACAGGAAAGAAGGAAGGAAGGAAGGAAGGAAGGAAGGAGGGAGGAGAGAAAGGACTTGGACACTCAGTAACCAGTAAGGAATTGAGGGCTTCTCACCCCACTGCCCCCTAAACAGACTCCTGTAGGAGAGGCACATCCTGTTCTTTGTGACATGGCTGTGGGGGGTGAGGAAGTGGATCCCCCACGGCGTGTGATGGTGACGGAATGACCTAAGAGTTCACCACGGGTTCCTCTGTTCTGCCGACACAGGAACTCCATCCATGGCCACAGCCAGCTCTAGCTCACACCCGCCTGGTGTGGCGGCAGCCCACACTGCTCTGGACAGTCCTCTGCGTGCTGGAGGTGAACCTCAGGGGCGTCTCAGTCCCCACCAGCCCCCTTATCCAGCTCCTGACAGCGGGGAACACACACCCAGGACTGCCCACATACCCAGTAGCTCCAAGTCCATTTATGAGTCACTGCCCAGATCCCCAATCAGTCCTGACACCGTGACGGCCCCGAGGTCCAAGCTTGTCATCAAGGTGGAGACCAGTCCTCCCACTCTCCTGGTCTACATGCCCACCACCGAGTGCGTACCCCGCTCTGGCCTCATCATCACCACCCCCCACCCCACCACCCCCTGTGCAGCCCTGACCTATGTACCCCTCACCAACTCTTACACCACCTCTCCCGAGACGGACGAGCTGGTGACAACCGTCACCTCTGGTAGGAAAGTGACCTCATCCGCTACCTCTGCTTCCACTGTTGCTGTTGCGGGGGACACCACCACAGAAATGTCCCCACCTTCTTCCTCTGTCTCAACCGTACACACAACCCAAGATACCCTGACCTCTTCTATCACAGAAACCACAGACATGATCACCACGGCCCCGACAGGTGTGCGTGCAACACTGTCCCTCACTCCGGGAGCGACTTATGTGTCTGCTACGGGTCCTTCTCCAGTTCCTACAAAAACCTCCTTAACAACAGTAACTGGTAACATTGCCCCACCCGGCACCAGTGCCTTGACCACCACAGGCATCACTACCAAACCATTTCCAACTGCAAGTAATTCTCTCAAAACAGAAACTTCCTCCACCCATTCCCCGGGCCCCACCAATACATCAACACCTTTTGCTTCTGTTGCTAAGGAAACAACCACTCACGCGGGTGAGCCGTCCTCGGCGATGACAATAACGAACTCTGGGGGAATCACACGTAAACCTATGAGTGACAGTCCCAGAGAAACTGTCAGCACAGCATCTTCCCACCCAACCATGTCACCCACCGGCAAGGGGACGGTTTTGCCGTCTGACATGATGGCTTCCTCAGTGACCTCCAGAATTCTAACGTCACTACCAAGTACGGTTCTGCCTTCTAAACCTTCTGATATTGACTCCACCTCTAGAACGCCTGCACCTGGGATGATCTCAATGTCCACTCCCCCAGGTCTTGGGATGACTTCCCAAAGCGCACACACACCATCGGCACAAGGTCCAGACATCTCTACCACAACGCCAGCAGCTCCCAGCCACATGCCTGCAGGCACAACAGGTCTCCTGCCCATGACGACGAGTCTCAGGCCAGCAAAAACACCTTCTTCTAGTCTGTCAGCACCAAGTGTGACACTCACGTCTGAAACCCTGTCACCTAGTAAAGGCATCCACACCTTTAGGAGCACAAGTCTTACCACGTCATCTATGGGTGACACTGTTCCATGGGGCACCATGACAGACGCCACCTCAACCCATAAAGCTTCTGGTACGCCAGCAACACACACCAATTTCATCTCATCGTACCCCACCACGAAGAACAGTGGTACACTTACTAACGAATCTCATCCCACAACTTCCAGTATGGTGACTGCCCTTCCAAATACTGAAGGTACCGGAAATACCGCAGGTGCCCCAGAGACAAGTGTTCCAGTCACATCTTCACTCTCCTCCTCCATATTCTCCAGCAGTGCTGGGTCCTCACAGACGGACAGTGTGTCATCAGCTCCACCCATCACCCACACGCTCCACGCGACAGCAGAGTCCACCCCAGCACCCACCACCACACTCACGGCCCCCACATCTGCAGAGCCACCTCCCTCAGCAGTGACTGCAGCAGGCCAGGCCCCCTCCCCCACCTCTGCTGCCACATTCACGGGAGACACCACACCGAGTCCCACCACAGACCTCCTGATCACTTTTTCGGGTGCCCCCACAGATGCATGGCTCTCTGGGCTGTCCAGCATCTCCCCTCCCATGAGCACCACTGTGTTGACATCACCCACAAGCAGGATTCTTTCCTCTACATCTGCCCCAAGCACGCAGCCTGTCACCCCTGGCGTGATGCACACCACCCCTTTATCGACTTTGATGACGACAGCGCTTCCGGCTACCGATGCCGCATCTACAGCGGTGTCTCGGGCCAACTCTCCCAGCTTTCCAGGTACCGCTGTTGGAGACTTCACACCAGATGTCACCTCTCCTACAGCCACCACACATGTGCCGAGGCCTGACCCCTCCGCCACGCCCACCTGGACCTCTTGGCCCACCTCAGAAGCAGCCGGATCTGCTACCACACACTTGGTCACCACAGCTCCCCCGGCGTCTCCTCCCAGCAGCCCTAGCCTCACCACAGCCTCCGACACTTCCTCCACTCACAGAGCACCCACAGCTGCGACCTCCTCACATCCCAACACCCCTGGTGCCATGGAGACGCTCCTGTCTACAACGCTGTCTTCTTCTGGTGCAGGCACTTCCACAGTTGCAGCCACAGATCTCCACTCCTCATCTACAGGCAACAGTGGTTCCTCCTCCGCTATGGCAGCCACCACCTCCACCCCTGCAGATCCCAGTATGTCCACCACCCACACCACTATGACCCCATCTTCCCTTTTCGTCAATAACACAGAGGTAGCAACGCCGATGAGTACACCCCATACCACCACCCCACGTGTGCCAGCTACTTCTCCAAACACTGGAAACACCCAAACCTGGTCCCTTGCTGTCACTGTTCCCGCCACAACTACACTCCCCACCTCGGTGGCTGATGTCAGTTCTGGGAACACCGAGAGTACACCTTCAGCGCCGAGCATCCCTCAGACACTCCACGTGACAGCTGAGTCCGCCCCAGCACCCACCGGCACCACATCTACAGAAACACTGTTAACTACGGCCTCCCTGATCCCTACCACAGACCTTCCCACAGAATCTCCCAGCACAGAAATCACAGCCCCTTCCCAGACCACGTTGACAGTCACACCCTCAGATCCACTGACTTTTGGGACAGCAAGCATCTATCCATCGGTGAGCACCCAAGTGCTGGCTTCCCCCACCACGACTGCTTTCTCCTCTGTGTCAAGCTCGCAGCCAGTCACCCCTGACGGCACACACACGGCCCCCTTAGCCACCTTGGAGACCGCGTTCCCAACTACCAAAGCCTTGTCTACAGGTACCTCTCAGGCCGCCCCCTTCACTTCTTTCACCAAAGCTGTGACATTGTTGACATCAGAGAGCGTCTCTCCTTCCTCCGTCACAGACACACTGGCCTCCGCCACGTCTGTCGCTTCCACCTGGCCTTCCTTACCCACCTCAGAAGCAGTCTGGACTTCTACCACACCCTTAGTCACCCTGGCTGCCCAGACGCCATCTCTCATCACTCACAGCTCCACAGCCTCCACCATCTACTCCACAGAGGGGCTCCCCACAACGCCTACCACTTCTGGTGTGACGGACACAGCTACACCCACAGCCCTGGCTTCCCCCACTGTGGACGTCTCTGCCACACCAGTTACAGCTCTCCACACCTCTCCTACGAGCAACACTGTCCCGCTGGTCACAGCAGACATCACCACAACCCACGAAGGTGATGCTGTTTCGTCACCAACCCACTCCACTCTGGTCCCATCTTTCTCCAGCCCCCAGAGCTCAGAAACAATGGCATCTGTCCCTACGAGTCAGGCCACACCCAGCAGGACAGCTACCCTCTCAGTCACCGGCAACGACTCAAGTTTCTTTGCCACAAGCCTTCCAGTCACATCTGCTTCTTCCTCGTCCACCTCTGCCAGCGGGACTGGGACCATCCAGACAGCGGGTGAACCCTCAGCTCCAACCTTGCCCCATTCTCCCCACACAACTGTTGAATCCGCCCCAGCACCCATGACCACCAACCCATTCACAACAACCACGTCCACAGAGCCACCCTCTGCGACCGCATCAGGGACTAGAACCTTCTTCAGCACCATTGTGACGTCCACCACAGACCTTTCCACACCACCTCCGATGTCAGAAATGGCAACCACGGCCTCCACCAGCTCTTCATTTGCCCCCTTAGATACCTTGACTTCCGGGAGGCTCACTACCTCTCCTTCACGGACCACCCATGCGTTGCCTTCACACACAAGTGGGGTCCTGTCCTCAACATTTGTCCCAAGCACACAGCCTGTCACTCCTGGCAGCGCAGACACTCCCCCATCGTCTACTTTGGCGTCAACACTGCCAACTTCCGATGCCGCATCTCTAACCTCATCTCTAGTCTCTTTCCCCAGCTCTCCAACTAGGCCAGTTACAGAGTCCGTGCTCCATTTCACATCTCCTGCCTCCAGCACAGACACGTCTTCCGCTGACGTCTCCTCGACCACCAGGCCCTCTCAGCTCACTTCTGAAACAGACACGACAGCTGCCGCACACACGGTCACCTTGGCTGCTCTGACCCCCTCCCTCACACCTCCCATCATCACAGCCTCAGAGAGCTACTTGACCGACAGTATGTCTGCTTCCTCCTCCTCACGTCCCGAGCTCACACCCACAGTCTCCTCCTCACCTAGCACACACCGCCACACCATCCCAGCCACGGCCCTCACCCCCTCACCCCCGGGAAACACTGAGCACACTGTGGCGGGAGGCACCTCTACCCACACCGCTTCCAGCCCTCTTTCCTCCGTCACCCGGAACACAGAAACGCCACGTGTCAGCACACGCCACGCCATTGCCACCATCAGGACCACTAACCCCTCAAGTGCAGGAAACCCCGCCAGTCCACTTGCCACGAGGATTCCAGCGACATCTGCATCCATCTCTGCCAGCAGTGTGGGCGCCACACAGACGGGCAGTGTGCCGTCAGCTCCAGTCACCAGCCCCACGCCCCACACGATGGCTGAGTCCACCTCGACACTCACTACCGCCGCCACACTCGCGGCCCCCACACCTACAGGGCCACCCCCTCCTGCTTCCGCCGCGACTGGAGCAGGGCAGCCCCCCTCCCCCACCCCCTCTGCTGCCACGTCCACGGGAGAGAGCACAGTGAGTCCTGCCACGGGCCTGCCTACGGAATCGCTCATGACAGACACAACTGTGACTTCCCCAACCACGTCTTCGGTCACTACCACGGGCCCACTCACATTTGGGATAGCCGTGAGCTCTTCTGATGTGACCTCCAGTGTGTTGACCTCACGCACGAGCAGGGCCCTATCCTCTATGTCTGTCTCAGGTTCACAACCAGGTACCCCTGACACAGTGTACAGCACCCCAGTGTCTACCTTGGTGACCTCACTTCCAGGCACTAACGCAGCATGGACAGCTACAGCCCAGGTCACCTCCCCTAGTCCTCCCGCCACATACTCTGCGTCAGACAGCTCCGCTTTTGTCCCTGTCACTGACACATCGACCCCCACCACCTTCCTGTCATCAACCCAGCCATCTTCAATCATCTCAGGCACAGCTATGACTACCACCGCAGACTTGATCACCACAGTCACCCCGACTCCCTCTAGGAGCCCCACGGCTTCTTCCAACTCAAACATGCACTCCACTGACAGTGTGTCTACAACTACCATCTCCTTACATCCTACAACTTCTGGTAACCTGGGGGCCCTGACATCTATGACCTCCTCTTTTCCTAGCGAAGGAATCCCTACCATTGCCGTTACAAGTCTCGCCTCCTCATCTACAGGCAACAGTGGTACGTCTGCCGTGACAGCTACCACCTCAACCTATACAGGTTCTAGTATATTACCAACCCACACCAATATTATCCCGTCCTCCTCCATCATCCAGAACACAGGGATTTCACTTCTCAGCACAGCCCACTCCTTTGTCCCCACTGTGACAGCTGCCGTCACAGCTACTGGGAACACCCCATCAGGTTCCCTTGGGATGAGTACCTCAGTTTCACTTGAAATCTCACTGTCAAAGTCAACTTCTAAATTTGCCTCTGACTCGGGAACCAAAACTTCTCCTGTTCCTACCAGTATTTCTCCTACAAGTACCAATTCCCCGATCTCTTCTTTTCAAACTCAAAGTCCATCACCAAACTCCAGTCCTATCTTGTCAACATCCCATGTGCCCACGACAAGCACCGGCTGGTCCACTCTTAGGACTCTCATGTCCACCTCCACTTTGTTAACTACACTTACTTCCTCAGGTGAGCCCAGAACAGAATCTCTCTCCAGGGGAAGTACTTCTCCAAATGCAGTGGTCACTGCTTTTGGTACCTTGATCTCCTTGACACCCACAGTAATGATGTCGACTCCTCTGCCTTCCTCTGCTACTAGTCCAATGCAAAGTATGACTACTAAATCTCCTACGTTCTCCCCTAGTTCCAGTACAGAAGACAGAGTCCCCTCTGCAGTAACATCCTTTCCTCCTTCTTCAACTACCAGAACTTCTCCAACCACCTCATCACCGACCACAGCTCACACCGAATCAACCCCCTTCTCTTACATCTCTCTTCCTTCCACCACATCCTGTCCAGAAACCATCACCATCACAATAGTCCCTACCTCTCCACTGACGCCATGTGTTGACATCAATCCCAGCACTGACGTGACATCTGCTCCCTCTACCCCATTCTCAGTCATTCCCTCTACCACTGAAATGGTCACCTTTTCCAGTTCTACCAGCCAAAGATCATTTCTCCCGACATATACGGACACTTCTTCCGTGACTCCGGAAACGGAGCCCTCGGGTGTCATCACTGATGCTCCTAGCTCGACGGTCACGATGACCACAGACACAGGCACAGTTCTGACCAGCACCTCAGTGTCCACTAGGGACCACTGGTTGAGCGTCACCTCCACAATCACCCCGGATATGCCCGGCTCTGTCAGTGTTCCTCCAACCCCGCAACCAAGCAGCATCCTTCCAACTACCACAGCTTCAAGCAAGGTGATCTACCCCATTCCATCTACCGCAAAGAGCCCAGAGACAGCAGTGACCACCATGAGGTCTCCTTCCGCCCTTACATCACCATCGTCAAGACCAACTCCAAGCACTGCTCAGGTGACTACAGCAGCAAGCTTGACCACCACCCCAGGTTAGACCTCTCACCTCCTGTTTTGTTTTTTTTTTCTATACCTTCCTTTTTTACTCAATTCTGTGTCACCAAGGTCTGGTCCTCTTTAGAGTTCTCATCTTACCCATACTTCCCAGGCATTTGTGAAAATGGCGGCACCTGGGACCAGGACCGGTGCGTTTGTGTTCCTGGTTTCTCTGGAGACCGCTGTCAAGTTCCGGACACCAGATGCCAGAACGGGGGCACATGGGATGGCATCAAGTGTCTCTGCCCCAGTACCTTCTATGGGTCTCTCTGCGAGTCTCCAGTGGAGCAGTTAGAAATAGGTGAGTTGCCAGGGCTGTGGGCTCCGTCCTTCCCCTTCCAGAAGGCGCTTGTGCACGCTGCTCCCCGTCTTCTTCCATTGCTGACCTCTCTCCCACCAAATCTGCCATCCCGTGCTCCTCTTCACCCTTAACCACCAGCTGACTTCAGCCTTCTTTTTGTCCTCTTCTCCAGACCTTACTAGTTTCTTTCTTTCTTTCTTTCTTTCTTTCTTTCTTTCTTTCTTTCTTTCTTTCTTTCTTTCTTTCTTTCTTTCTTTCTTTCTTTCTTTTCCTT